GCACGCCATCCCATGAAAAGTGTTTTGTTGTGGAGCACTCCCATGGCGACGAGGTCTTCGATGGTATGCTCATTGCTCCTTGACTTCCACCACTCCTTCGCCATGACTCCGCCTTTCTTCTGGGCGTTTCTCTTCGCCATTGATCTGCCCTTGTTAAGAGGGTGGATGCGGTGGAGGAGGGATTGGTGGTGATTTTTGGAGTAGGGTTCAGCGAGAGGAAGAAGAAGGTTGCGGTGGTGAATGACAATGGGGATCGGTAAAAAGTAACTTACCAGCTCTATATTATAAATAACCAAGGGCTTCGTCGTTTCGTCCACCCGAGATTCTTGGGAGACGTATGACGATTGCCGTGAGACGGTTGTTTCCACAACCTCGAGATCTACGCTAACAAACACGCCTCTTCGTTTCAGATTGTGCACGCGCCTCTTCGTTGATAATGTGAGAGGGCCCACATCGACAAGACTCTCCATACAGCGCCAAGCTTAATCGCTTGCCGTAAAGAGTAAGAAGGCGAGTGATATGTTATATCCGTCTCGCTTTTTTGACCAGACGTGGCGATTGGACTTGACAGAGTAAGGAGATAAATAAATACACCAAATAATAATACAAGCGGCGTTTTTTTCTTTTGGATGCATATCTTGAGCTCAATGATGGACCGCACCATCGCTTGGTGCTCGGGATCGCCTGGACCATCGCTGCGTTTCGGCACCGCCGACCACTACCACGCTTGGGGACTCGCTCCGGCTTTTGGTGTGTTTTGGGACCGTCCCGACCACCGCTTTCGAGATCGTTCTTCTCGGCTACATGTGATTTGTACTCACATACAGTTGAGAGACATTTATTTAGACCTTGCTACAAGGCTCATACTCGCCTTCCAAAGAAGCTCGGGGACTACATCGGCACGATGCACCGCGGTGCATCTTGTATCGCGTGTAACGACAATTCGTTTCTCAACTTAACTGGGAATTCTTTTTAGACCCAGGCACCACGTGCCTACGTCACCTACTACCAGGCTCGGGGACTAAGTGGGCACACTTCACCTTGCGGTGAATGTGTTTGTTTTTCGACCCCTACGCCTCTGATGATCAAGGACGCTACGCTTCTAGACACACTTATATGTCTGTTTAGAAATACAAGTGGGCACACTTCCCAGGACAAAAATCTTTTTCTTTTTTCTTAAGAGCACCATATATTCTTCGGGCAACCGACTTCTCCGGCGACAACGGTGGTCAGAGACGTCAAGGACTCAAGCCTTACTTGTCGGGGAAGGTTAAAATGGCGTGTCGCAGCATAATACATGGTGCTCGGGGACTAGCTGTGGGGGTATTAACCCCTATACCCTTATGACTAAGCTTGGGCCGGCCCGGATCGGTGGGTCCGGTCCACCAAAAGACGACGTGCGGCCCGGTTAACCTGATCGGAGTCCCGCGCAAGGAGTCAAGGCGGATTTGGCGATCAATCAAGATCCTGGTCGGTTAGAATAGGAATCCTTATCCGCCACATATGGCAATTGTAACTAGCTAGGATTAGTTTCAGATCGTAACCCCGCCTTCTAACTATATAATATGTAGGGGGACCCTCTAAAAGACATCTCTCATTGACATACAAAGAATACAAATCAGGGACTTAAGACGAGGTATTACGCCTTCTTGGCGGCCGACCCTGGATAAAACCTTATGTCTGTCTTGCGTCACCGTCTTGTTTGTGGCTTGCGCATCTGTCTGCCGATAATCTACTACCTTGGGTATACCCCTAGGTAGACTGCCGACCATATTTCGTCGATATACATATACTAGCAATATTAAACTATCAAGTGATTTTGATGAACTAATTTAACTTTTGTTTATCCAAACATATATGCAAATCATCATGTGATTTTGAGCTAAAAATGACATAAAATCATAATAAAGTCCAACATATAAAGTTACACATGCATCTACATCGCAAAATGAGATAAGCTACTGATAAAATATAAGAGGATTAAGTTTGTTACCTCCAAAATCGAAGAGCAACACCAATGGAGGGGGAGAGAGCACGAACAACAGCAAGCTGAATAACAGAGGCAGTGAGTTTGAATGGAATGGCTCGGGCTCGGGGAGGAAGAAATGAGCTGGTCTATAGGCCGGGATAATTAGTCCCGGTTAGGGGGCCAAACCGGGACTAAAGATTAATCTTTATTCCCGGGCATCACCTAAACCGGGACTAAAAGCTTTAGTCCCGGCTGGTATTACCTTTAGTCCCGGTTGGTAATACCAGCCGGGACTAAAGATCTCTGCCCCGCGGACGACCGTTGGGTAGGAACCTTTAGTCCCGGGGGCAAAAAAGGCCGAGGCTAATGCTAAATTGGGACATCGTTCTAAAGTCTGTTCTCTAGTAGTAATTGGCCAAAATGAAGGGGAGGCAGACCTGGACCCAGACCTAAACGGCCAAACCCAAACCTGAACTGAAGGAGAAGCCCTTTTGTTTGGCGCTGCATGTGCATGTGCATGGTACTGTTAGTCAAACTAGAAGGTCCAATATATTGTTGTAGTTTTTCCCCACATTTATTAGTTTCAAAAGAACTGCTTGCAGGATGGCAAATGACGAGAGACAGCCTAGCTAGCTACGTTATTAGTTTGTTCTTGCTGCGTTTTGCAAAACAACAATGCAGTGCTAGCTCCTGCTTTCGCTTTATATTTAGCTTGCTGATGAATTAATCAATTAATGTAATGTAAGGTTACCCCTGGTCTCTTCTAGAGCTAGCCTTCTTTGTCATTCTCAAGTCTCACCCCGTTTGTAACAAACTATATACAACGTCAAGCAGTGTGCCAAGACGCTGCGCTGCTACATCAGGTCAGTTCTGGGTCTGGGTCTGGGTCTGGGTCTGGTTTAGGTCTTCCAGCAGGTTCATGCAATGCACTGATGAAGTGATGCGTTGAGGCTATAAAAGGGGCAGTGCAGTGCAACACACCACACTACCCTAACCACACATCGTCCTAGTTCTTCTCAACAACATCTTCGTCCCCTGCAAATCTCCTCGCCTTCGCCTGTCCCGTGGCTATCGACGGCGCACTCAGCCACCCGCTGTACTCTAGCTCCTCGCAGCAGTAGTTACCTCCTCGGCAGAGCCGCCAAGCCACCTCTCCCCTAGAGCTCGTCTGGCTACCTCTGCGCCGGCGCCGACGAGCCACCGCAGCCAAGGCGTCAAGGTGGTGTGATTACGACGTGCAGGGCGGCGATGGACAAGACTACCGGAGCTGCAGTCGACGGCGGCTTGCTTCAGCTTGAGCCGCGTGTGGGTGGCTTGCGCGCACGGGTGACGCCTTATTCAAGTGAGGTTAGCTACCATCCATTTCTCTTCTCTAGTCTTCATGGCGCGGAACGAGATAAGTTCGTCTCCATCTCCACTCGATGCTCTAGATCATTTTCTAAATCCTTGCCTTCTGGATCCACGATTCCTCCCCCACAGCTCCATGGAGCTCATCAGCTTCCACACATGGTCGTATAGTATAGTACCGTCTGGCTCACGAGTCACGACCACGCTGCTGACGGCCATCTACTCGTGGTGATAGATGCCGCCACTACCCCTCGCGGCTGCTGTGCGGGTGATGCATGGGGTCTTCCACTGTGATCGATGGCTTCTATGCCTAGCTTCTTCCTCGCATCCGGCAGGACAGGCTCCGCCGCTATGACAGCATTGAGCCCGCCAGCCGAGCGTTGCATGTCGTAGTACGCTTGGTACACGTACGTGCCCGGCCGGCCGGGCGGTTGACCACGAAGCTGTAGGTGAAGGCGTTGCCGGCCGGGAAGGGACACTACCGGATCTGGCAGTGCGTCACCCCCCTCTGTGCCGTCGCGCGCACAGCGTCAGTGTCGCCGGTACTGGACCAAGGCGCGCGGCTCCCTACCGATGGAACGTGCTCTTCTCGCCGGCGGCTGCTTCCGGAGGAACAGCCGGTGAAGAAAGTCGGCGCGGTCGGGTGACGCACGCGTGCGCGTGCTCTCCGTTGAGACCGGAGGGGTTTGTGTTACCTAGACCTACACCCAGACCCAGACCCAAACCCAAACCCAAACCCAAATCCAGTTTCTGTTCCCAGCAGGTCCCGGTGCGCAGCCGCGACGAGTTGTCGCTGTTGTCACGTCGCCGGTGCACCAGCAGCATGCAGTTGCTCCGATTCTCTGGCACAAGCACAAGAGAGACCTAAACCCAAACCCAAATGAGATTGACCATGCATCCATTTGTGACGACCAAGTCAACCGTACATCCCCAATTAATAAATACTAAAACCACATGGGTACGAGTTGCCCAACAGCAGAGTTGAAGTGATTAGTAGAGGCAGAAGAGCAGGCCATAAGGCTAGCATATATATAATTACACAGAAAAGGGGTTTTTTAATCAGAGAATCGAAATTTCTGGATATAGTAAGCAATTTCATTGATGTACTTACTCCATTAAAAAAATAATATTGTAATTTTGTACGAAGTCACACTATTCTAAATTTGACAAAATTTATAGGAAACAATATTACCATTTATGACACCAATAGATCCATCATAAAAACTATATATTTCACGAGAGTAAAATACAAGTGCAGTCCATCTAGGTCAATCTCATGTTTTGATTTTTGGATCCCAAACTTTTCCTTGCGAGGTGGTGTCATCTAGGTCCTAAACATTCATGTTTTGATTTTTGGATCCCCAAACCTTTCCTTGCGAGGTGGTGCCATATGGGTCCTAAATTTCATGTTTTTATTTTTGGATCCCAAACTTTTGGGCTCTTGTTCAGACATGTTTCGACCCGCTCTATTTGTTGACGTGGCATACTGACTCAGTACTGACGTGGATCTGACGTATTGGGTCTAGTATCTAAGCTTCCATGGCGATGCAATGCCATGTAGGTCGCAAACTTCCAAAATTGAATATTTAGGTTCCCAAACTTACTAAATAGGTCATACAAGGTACTTAAGGGCGTGATTGGTTACTGATTCTGCCGAGCCTGGTGGTTGAACTCCAGGAACGCCATGCCCATCCAGTGGCGGAAATCGTTTGATTCGGCCGTGCTCCTCGTATCTTGGCGCCTCGGGAAAGAACGCAAAGCCAGAGTGTTCGACAACAGCGTGCATTCAGTGATGCAGGTGCTGTCCCTGACCATCGAGGAAGCCAATGATTGGATCACGGCTGGGTTCACGGCCATCTCCACGTTCTTGGTCGCTGGAAGTTCGTAGCTGACGACCCTCCTCTCAGTCGCTAGCTCAGTTCAAATGTAGCCGCTTCAGTTGCGCCCGTGGGGCTAGTTTACGTTTCCTTCTGGCTTTCCTTTCGTTGTCAGTTTGTTTCCTTCTGTTCTATATGGCACCTCGCTATAGTTGTTTTGGATTGTACTATGTTTCTTCCACTAAATCAAATATTCTCGAAAAAAAATTCTGCCGAGCCAGGCTTGTATTAGCAAACCAGGCCTTACTTGTCTAGGCTCCAAGGATACACGAGCAGTTGATTGGTTATCCGTTTTCATTAGCAAGTTTATTTGAGGACATGGGTTGCAGTTTTGAAAGTTATGGACCTATATGGCATCGCCGTGCAAGTTCACGCAATAGACCATAATGTCTGATCTATGTTAGCATTGAGTTAGCATGCCATGTCAGCGTATGTAGAGGGTCGAATCCCATCCCATCTGGACCAGTCACTACTACAGGATGGCCTTGTTGTCCCGGACGGTAACAGCCTTTAGTCCCGGTTACCGTGCCGGGACAATGATTCCGGGACTAAAGGTGGAACCTTCAGTCCCGGGTCATCGAGTCGGGACTAAAGAGGAACCTTTAGTCCCAGTTGGTGTTCCCAACCGGAACTAAAGGCCCTCTAGCCGAGCAAACGTGGCCACACCCTTTAGTCCCGGTTGGTAACCCCAACCGGGACTAAAGGTTCCTTTTCTTTTTCTTTTTTTTGTTTAATTTGTTTTCAGTTCAGTTACACATATTTGTTTAATATATAATATGTTTTTATGTACGTATTCTACGCTGCTAATATAAATACATGCACGCATATAAATACATCTAATTCTCATCTCGAGCATTATTATATTCGAATAAAGTATGAAACTATATATATTATAGATATATATGTATATATACAACACTTTCATAATCTTGTTCTCGAAAATGATGATATCAATAAACATTTAATTTACATCATTTATTCCTTAGGATCAAAGTAGAACTCGTCGTTGGGATTTAGCACTTTTTCTAGAAGAAATCCTGCTATTGACTCTTAAACTGCTTTCAGATGGTCTTTTTGCATGATCCTTTGTTTCAACCTTTCAGTCTTGCATTTGAAATAAAAGGAAAAGTATTAATACATATATATATTTATTTATTTATTTATTTAAAAATAAATAAAAAATTGATATATACGTACTCTGAGGACTATCTAAAAAAACTATCTAAATAAAGTACTAATTAAATTTTAATACATTTAAATCTAACATATATCAAAAACTATCTAAAAAACTAACTAAAAAACTAACAATAAACTACTAATTAAATTTTAATACATTTTAATCTAACATATATATCAAAAACTATCTAAAAACTATCTAAATAAACTAGTAATTAAATTTAACATACATTTTTATCTAACATATATATATCAAAAACAATCTAAAAAAACTAGAAACTTTGTAAAAAAAATATGGCCGAGAGCAGCTAGCTAGCAGCTGTTAGTCATGATGGATGGCGGGACAGACAGAGCGTCTTGGCGGCCACGGGCCGAGCCGAGCACCTTGCGCGAGGACGACGATGATGAGAGACGGCGAGATCGACTTGAGCGGATTGGCGCGGCCGAGCGAGAGACGACAACGGCAGCGGGCGCGGCGACGAGTTTCGACGGCACGGCAGTGGGCTTCGACGACGAGGCCGGACGGGATGCTGGCGGAGAGATTTACAGGCGATGCGGTCAAGCGGATGGCGTGGCGGGGGGGGACGACGACGGCGGCGGCGCTGGCGAGAGACGAGCTCGACGGCAAGGCGGGGGGCTGGGCGACGAGGCGAGATCAAAGATGGCGGTGGCGCGGCGATGATCGACGATGTAGATCGAAAAGTATAAGATGAACAGAACAGGAACCGTTCGATATATATAGGCCGAGACCCTTTAGTACCGGCTGGTAACACCAGCCGGGACTAAACGCCATTTAGTCTCGGCTGGTAAGCCGAACCGGGACTAAAGGTTACCAGCCGGGACTAAACGCCATTTAGTCCCGGCTGGTGTTACCAGCCGGGACTAAAGGTATTTTTGGGCGGGCACCGAAATTGCCGCCCACCCTTTAGTCCCGGTTCCTGGCCTGGGCCGGGACTGAAGGCCTGAAAATTTTGGCAGCCCGCCAGAGTAATTGGAAAGGCCTGGGATTTTGATTTTGTTCTCCTTGTTTAATACTAGGTTAATCAATTAATTATATAGCAACTTCAATACTTTGCAATATTTATTTTAAAAAATACTATTGATTAACTAATTATTTATTGTAAATAGGAAAATTTTGTAACCTAAAGTTTTTAATTTCTTTTATGAATATAGAATATAAATGTTACTAATACTAAGTATTTTGTTAATGCAAAAATATATTTGTAACTTAAAATTAATAAAACTAATATTATTCGATAGAAAATTTATTATCACATTATTGTAACGTCAATGTTTCAATTTTTTCTCGGTTTTTAACCAAAATTGACAGGAAATTTTTGTTGAACCTATAAAAATAAAGAAAATGTAGTATTTTTGTTCTACAACTTTTTCAAATGAAAAAATGTCCTATATAAGGATGGTAGATCTTGATGAGTTGAACAAACTTAATATTCAAAACTTTTTAATTTGAGACAATCTAGGGTTCCGAAAACTAGTTTGTAGGCGTCAAAATTTAAAAATCACAAATTTGAACCGTCTAAACTTTCTCGAATGGAAAGTTTACCAAAACAACAATTGTATATCTTGATGAGCTAAACAAACTTGGTATTCAAAACTTTTTAATTTGAGACAATCTAGGGTTCCGAAAACTAGTTTGTAGGCGTTGAAATTTAAAAATCATAAATTTGAACAGTCCAAACTTTCTCACATGGAAAGTTGACCAAAACAACAATTTTAGATCTTGATGAGTTTAACAAACTTGGTATTCAAAACTTTTCAAGTTGAAGTCATTTAGAGTTCATAATACTAGAGTCAAAGTGTTATTTTTTAATTTGACCAAATTTGACTTGGTCAAACTTGCTCAAATGAGACACTAAATGACCTCAGATGAAAAATCTATGAATACTAAGTTTGATCATCTCAGCAATATCTACAATTGTTACATAGCTCATTTTCCCATTTGAGAAAGTTTTATTAAACACTAGTCACAAATTATTAAATCTCATATAGACTTTCTAAAACTATGTCACACACTTGTGAAATTTGAACTACATTTTGTTTAAACTTTCTTAAATGAAAAAATAGCCTATATAAGGATTGTAGATCTTGATGAGCTAAACAAACTTGGTATTCAAAATTTTTCAATTTGAGACAATCTAGGGTTCCGAAAACTAGTTTGTATGCGTCGAAATTTAAAAAACACAAATTTGAACCGTCAAAATTTTCTCAAATGGAAGTTTTGGCCTCAGTCGTTTACACTGGCCGTAGATAATGAGAGAGAGTTCTGGCCTCAGTCGTTTCGCAACCGAACGAGAGGCCGAGGATCCGGTACCAGTTGTCATCTACTTTCTATACTTATTTTTGCAAACTAGTGTAAATTTCATATTTTCTAAAATAATATATTTAAACAAAACTAAAATTATTTATTTATCTAACTAAACCATGAAATATGTACTATGTATAATAGTAAAATACCAAACTATCAAGTGATTTTACTGTTGTAAATCATCATGTGATTTTGAGCTAAAAATGACATAGAAATCATAATCAAATCCACCATATCAAGTTACTTTCTATACTTATTTTTGCAAACTATTGTAAATTTCTCATTTCTAAAGTAATATATTAAAAAAATAAAAATATTTATTTATATAACTAAACCATGAAATGTACTACATATACTAGCAATACTAAACTATCAAGTGATTTTGATGAACTAATTTAACTTTTGTTTATCCAAACATATATGTAATCATCATGTGATTTTGAGCTAAAAATAACATAAAATCATAATAAAGTTTAACATATAAAGTTACACATGCATCTACATCGCAAAATGAGATAAGCTACTGATAAAATATAAGAGGATTAAGTTTGTTACCTCCAAAATCGAAGAACAACACCAATGAAGGGAGAGAGAGCGAGAACATCAGTAAGATGAAGAACAGAGGCAGTGAGTTTGAATAGAATGGCTCGGACTCGGGGAGGAAGAAATGAGCTGGTCTATAGGCCGGGATAATTAGTCCCGGTTAGGGGGCCAAACCGGGACTAAAGATTAATTTTTATTCCCGGGACATCACCCAAACCAGGACTAAAAGCTTTAGTCCCGGCTGGTATTACCAACCGGGACTAAATGTAGTCCCGGCTGTTATTACTAACCGGGACTAAAGGGACTAAAGATCCCTGCCCCGCGGACGACCATTGGGCAGGAACCTTTAGTCCCGGGGGCAAAAAATGCCGAGGCTAATGCCAATTTAGGACATCGTTCTAAAGTCTGTTCTCTAGTAGTGAGTGCTGGAGCTAGTAGTGAGTGCCAACTTTGTGTGTTGGTAAGCACGTGAACCTCGGGAGAAAAATCACCGTGTCAACTTTGTTCTTCCCGTTGGTTTGCATCCTGGTCACACAAGCTTGTAATTACTTTCATATACATTGTGCTTGTGTAGTTGCTCTTGTTTTTAGTTAGCTTGTGTAGCTTACTAGTTACCCTCTTGCTTGTGTAGCATAGAAGTAGCTCCTTTGCGTGGCTAATTTGGTTTGTGTAACCTTGTTAGTCACATTGCTTAGTTTGTGTAGCTAAGTATTTGCGCTCTCTAATTTGGCATTGGTTGCCTTGTTATTGAGCATTGCTAGTGAGCTTAGGTGGCTTTGTGCTTTTGCTTACTAGCATATGTAGGAGCTCCCCGTTGCTTAAAGTACTAGTGGCATAGGTTTGTGCGACCTTGCTTATAGAATTGATTAGGTGAGCTCTAGCTTGCCCAGCACCTTTGTTGCTTAATTAGTATCTTTGGAAGGTGCTAGAGAACATAGTTAGAGGGGTGTAGTCTTGGCTAGACCG